CTTGCCTTTCCTTTTCTTTGGGATGGTTTTGTTGCTGCCTCCTGTACAATGTTATGAGCCTCCATACATAGTTCTTCAGGCACTCTGTCCACCAAATTGAGTTCCTTAAATCTGTTCTTCACTTCCACTATGTATTCAAAAGGGATTTGGTTTAGATTGTACCTGACTAGCCTAATGGTTTTTCCTACTTTCTTCAGTTTAAGCTTGAATTTTGCCATAGGAAGCTGATCATCAGAGCCACAATCAGCTCCAGGTCTTGTTTCTGCTGACTGTATAGAACTTCTCCATCTTTGGCTGCAGAGAACATAATCAATCTGATTTCGGTATTGCCCATTTGATGATTTCCATGTGTAGAGTCGCCTCTTGTGTTGTTGGAAGAGAGTGTTTGTAATGACCAGCTTGTTCTCTTGACAAAACTCTATTAGCCTTTGCCCTGCTTCATTTTGAACTCCAAGGCCAAACTTACCTGTTGTTCCTTTTACCTCTTGACTCCCTACTTCAGCATTCCAGTCCCCTATAATGAGAAGAACATCTTTCTTTGGTGTCAGTTGTAAAAGGCGTTGTATGTCTTCATAGAATTGGTCAATTTCAGCCTCTTCAGCATCGGTGGTTGGTGCATAAACTTGGATTACTGTGTCTTGAAAGGTTTGTGTTAGATTCGTATTGAAATCATTCTATCATTTTTGAGATTGTATCCCACTAGAGCTTTTCCCACTCTTTTGTTGACTATGAGGGCTACTCCATTTCTTCTACGGGATTCTTGCCCACAATAGTAGATATGGTAATCGTCTGAATTGAATTCACCCATTCCCGTCCATTTTAGTTCACTGATGCCCAGGATGTCAATGTTTATTCTTGCTATCTTCTGTTTGACCACATCCAGCTTATCAAGGTTCATAGATCTTACATTCCAGGTTCCTATGCAGTATTTTTCTTTGCACCATCGGACTTTCCTTTCACTTCCAGGCACATCGGCAGCTGAGCGTCTCTTCGGCTTTGACCCAACCACTTCTTAAGCTCTGGAGCTACTTGTACTTGTCCTCCGCTCTTCCTCAGTAGCATGTTGGACACCTTCCGACCTGAGGGGCTCATCTTTCAGCGCCATATCTTTTATCCTTTTTTACTGTTCATGGGGTATTCTTGGCAAAGATACTGGAGTGGCTTGCCATTTCATGCTCCAGGTGGATCACGTTTGGTCAGAACTCTCCACTAAGACCTGTCCATTTTGGGTGTCTCTGCATGGCATAGTCAGAACTCTTCACTATGACCTGTCCATTTTGGGTGTCTGCATGGCACAGCCCAAACATTCTCTGAATTGCTCAATGCCCTTCACCATGACAAGGCAGCAATCCATGAACGTCACAAGTAGCCTTGGGCAAAAAAAGACCAACACTAAATTCTTGAAAGGACTAGACAGAGGTTCTACAGTGAAGATACAGGAGACACAGATAGGTGTAGTTGATGAGAGTCCTTGAGGAGCATTTTAACCTATGGCACATGAATCCAGGAGTGGCCAGAGGGATCAGGTCAGTAAGATATACCCTCAGAGAGGTGAGTGACAACTCTTGGGAGGAAGGAGGGAATAAGGCCAAAGTGCACTGTCTGAAGGGACAATGGTCTATCCCTGAGGAACACAAGAAACCTTTCCTTTTTCACACTGCAAGATTTCCAAGTGAAGCGCTTGCATGCTGCTCTTAAGATTGCCACTATGTCTGGGGGAAATTATATAAAAGGATGATACACTGCACTGTTAATGGGTGGTGATATTTAAAATAATGCACACTGGGCATTCAATGGGGAGTCAATGGGGACTCTATGGAGGGGCTGCCTCAGTGGCAAAAGACCTCCCACTTGGAAATGTGTTACTTATGGGAAGTTTTCTTGGGTCAGCTGACTGAGTTTGCCACTGTACTGTTGTTGCCAGGGAGACAGGCTGCCTGGAGGTTACTGATTCTGGCAGGTACCAATTTGTACAGCAAATATCAGGATACAGACTGAATGGTACTCATCCTAGTTCTGATCATTAAGTGAATTTTCGGCATATTTAAGATCTCAGTGGCCATTGTGCTCAAAGCAAATTTGGCTGCTTCACTCACTAGAGGAGTATGAAACTCTCTCTTGGTATGAGCCATATGAATATAACACTTTGCTAGGTTGTCAGCATTGTTCTGCAATGTTAATTCTGCTATTGTTCTTCTGCGGAAAGGGACTGGGATCAAACACTTGGCTCTTTCTGGGATTCCATGGAAGAGAAGGGTGAAAATTAATGCCCGTTATTTTCCCCACAAAGAAAATACAACACAGAGAAACTCAGAATGCACTCCATTTCCAGAGGAAGAACTAAAATGTAATCCCTATGTGATGACAGTATTATAGAGGACACTGCTGGTGTTCACCTGCTTGCTTCTACTCATAAGGCCCTCTCGTCTTCCCGAGATTCAAATATAGCACACTCTTTAGCTTATCTACAACAGTTAATTTTACAATGCCATGTAGTAAACTGAAATAAGGAATTTGTATTCCAGTCCTAGATAGTATTAATGCTTTCACTTTCTATGGAGAATCTTCTTGTTGCTAGGAGCTTCCAGACTGCAGCCCTAGTATGAAGGCAACCACACAACAATTTAGATAACAGTTTAAACAATATGTGTACAACCTAAGGGAAATGAATTAAAATAAATAACAAAAAAGAAACAGAAAATAATACCTTTGGATACTTTGGGATTTGAAGGATTTGTAACGTAGCAGCTCACACAACTGTGGAGAGGGCATCGAAAACCTCGATTTTCAAATATTGTAAGGGGAAATTTTTTAACACAAGCTTCATGGTAAAATTTTCCACAATGGGATACAGCACAGCGCTTCACTTCAGATTTTTTCTCTTTACATACAAAGCATGAGTGAACACCTAAGAAAAAAGAAAAACAATACTGATTATTTTAACATACTAAAACAGTCCCACATTAATTTCTAACTAAATAGGCATTGGGAATTCACATTGTGCTATCAAATTAAAAAACACTACCAAACATTATCAATATTGTTAAAAGTTTAATTTCTTCCTGTACTTCATCACATTTGTTCTATGAACTCTTTGCACTCTAAATACCTCTTTAGAAAAACAATCAGTTTGTGTTTTTTTACAGGTGGTAAATTATAAACAAATACTCTATTTACAGTGCAATGGGTTATACAATACCACAGACATTGTCTTAAATTTTCTTCGTAGTCTGGACTAAATCTCAGTTTAAACACCACATTCAATCCAACTCCTCATCTAGACAATGATTCATAATTTCTGCAGATACCTTGCCATTAACTGAAACAGGGTACAACAAAAACAGAACAGACTAAATATGCTGCCAGTAATCTTTTCCTGATCTAGAAAAATACAGAGTGTACAAAGCAGATAAGGAAGCCCTTTCTTCATTCAGTAGCGTGCTGGAAGTTCATAGGCAACACACATTTTCTTTTTCAAGGTTTCTCAGTCTTAGATGTGTTGAGAATGCTTGATTTCCATGGCTGGACATCTCCTACTACAGGTTGGCTGTCTTCAAAACTGGGAGTGCTTAGATCTGAACACTGGTGTCACATGCTTCGAATCCAGAGCAGAAAGCTCCACAGCCCAAGAGTCCTTCAGCTCCAGAGTAAATATGTCTACCTAGGGATCTTGCTAATTCCCTGTGGTCTAGCAGATTCCTAGGTCAGATAATTACTTTGGCAATCCACATCATATTGCTGTGATGTCAGGGCCAAACTCCAAAAGCTAGAGAGAACTGATGTCCAACTAAGCTCCTTGAATAATGAGCAAAAGTGAATGCCCCAAATCCTGTTTACTACCTCAGAACTGTATTTTAGGAATTACTGGGAAATGGAATAAAAGTAATATTAGCATAGATTGGTGGGCCATGCTCATGGCAGGTTTTTTACACAGATAAACAATACAGGATATGTTCCAAAAAGTTGGAAACTAAGTATAATGTACCAACACATAAGAAAGGGGTCAAAAGAACCCTAAGAATTATAGACCAATCAGTCTGATTGATATCCCAGCAAGAAAATTATGCCAAATACCTCCTGCAAAAAGCAGAGGAGTGGGCACAATATCATGCTTTGCTGCTGAAGAACGAACAGGATTTAGGAGGGGTAGATCTACACTGGATAATTGCTCTGTCCCACACCACCTGACAACTAAATACATGAGTCAAAATGGGCAGCTTTATGTTGCCTTCATCAACCTCGGTGCAGCCTTTGACTCTATTATAAACTGGCAATGGTACGGGGAGAAAATGCTTGATGGCAACATTGATTTGAGTCTGTTGATTTTAATGAAAGCTCTTTACTCTAAAACCAGTCTCAGGGTCCGAACTGTCATCACACATGATCTCTCAAATCAGATTCCAACATACAAGGGTGTTCGCCAAGGCTGGTATCCCAGCCTCAGTTCTTTTCAGTGCTTATGCACATGATATTATCAGAACCCTGGAAAACCAAGACTTCCACATACCCGAAATTTTTAGACAGATCTGTAAATATTTACTCTGTGTAGACGACATGATCTCATTTGTCCACTGCACAAGTTGGATTGAGAAGATTGCTAAAACGATTTAGTTCTTCTTGCCCAATCCAAAGTTGTAGTCTTTGATAAAAAGAAAAAAGTGCATAGGTGGAACATCAGAACCCTGGAAAACCAAGACTTCCACATACCCGAAATTTTTAGACAGATCTGTAAATATTTACTCTGTGTAGACGACATGATCTCATTTGTCCACTACACAAGTTGGATTGAGAAGATTGCTAAAACGATTTAGTTCTTCTTGCCCAATCCAAAGTTGTAGTCTTTGGTAAAAAGAAAAAAGTGCATAGGTGGAACCTAACTGCAAAAGAACTGGAGCAAGTAAAATCCTACCGTTCCCTAGGCATAACCTTCTCAGCTACAAGAGCATGGCCCTTACAAATAAAGAGAAGTGAACCGAAAGCAGCTGCCTGCTTGAAGTGAACTGAAAGCAGCTGCCTGCTTGCATTCATTCATTAAATAGACTCTTGAATTTTACTTATTCAGGCACACTACACCCAGTTTTAAGATCTTCAAGGCAAAGGTAATACCAATACTAATATTGGTTGCAGAAATCTGGAGTTTTGCTGACCTCATCAATATTGAGAGAGTTCAAAATCAATTCTTGTGTATGATATTGGGAGCCTCAAAATCTACATTCCCTTGCTTAATTAGAGAGGGACTGATCATGAGAACAATTGCTGGTACAGATCATGCCAAGATGATGAGCTATTGGTGCAAAAGTAATCAAAAAAAGGAAAACAGATTTTCTAAGATTGATTTAGAGCAGGGGTTTTCAAACTACAGCCTGCGGGCCACATCCAGCCCACCTTGCTTTTTTTATGCAGCCCAGCGGGCACGGGGGAATGTGAGCACATAGGAGTGCATGCGTTTGCACATCTTCCGTCAGCCCTCAAAAATGTGGAGCATATATGATGTGGCTCTCCCTCTGAAAAGCTTGGAGACTCCTGGTTTAGAGGAACAGAGAGTCTATGAACACTGCTGGTTATAGAGATTTTCAAAATTACAGTGGTGCCTCACTTAACGAGCGATTCGTTTAACAACGAATCTGCATAGTGATTGAGTTTTTGTGATTGCAAAAGCGATCGCATAAAGATGTTTTAAATGGGAAAACATCGCTTTGCGATGAAAGGTAAGCTGTTTCGCTTACTGATTATCGCATAATGATGTTTTTCCAACAGCTGATTGGCAGTTCCAAAATGGCTGCCGGGTAAAGAAAATGGCCGCCCGCTGTGTTTTCGCGCCCTTTCCTCGCTTACCGGGCAGCGAAAATGGTGGCCACATGGAGGATTTCCGCATAACGGCGAGTTTTTTGCCCATAGGAACGCATTAAACGTGTTGGATTTAAAGTTTGTGGTGGAAAAACTGCATTTGGGGAGTACAAAGTGGTGCCCCGCATAGCGATGAATCCACATAGCGATGATTTTTTCCGAACGGATTATCGTCACTATGCAGGACACCACTTTGTACTCCCCAAATACAGTTTTTCCACCACAAACATTCAATCCAAGAAGTAATTCTATCAAAAATATATTTAGACAAAGAGTACTAGACATTGGAGCTGAAACTGACCTATTATTAGATACCTGAAAATGTCAAATGGTTAGCGGGTACAAAATATCTGAATCAGTTTGAAAAATATCTGTCATATCCTATGAAAATGGAACTCTTCAAAGCCTGTACCAGATTACACTTTGAACAAATGGAATCAGCAATGAAACCGGGGAGATTCCATGGTATAGCAGTTTAAGACATACAGTGTATCTGTGGGGCACCAGCTGAGGAAGATCTAATTCATTATATGTGGGAGATCTAATTCATTATATTCTTGACTGTCAGTAAAATACTGACATCAGAGAATGTTATCTAGATTCCTTGCTCAAGAGAAGGAAGTTATGGGATGTGAAAGATAAACTGGACTTCCTGCTTCAAAGGACAAACCCAAAACATCTCCCCATTCACAATAAAAGTGGCTAGATGCAAGGGGGGCGGAATAAGGATTCTGAATTAAAACAAGTACTGAGCTCAGAAAATATAACAGCATAAACATAATCTGATAAACTCACTAATTTTAGTGTACCTTAATATGATCACAAATTCCACCTGTGACTGATTACTCTATCTCATAAGTATTGCTTCAAAGGTATCTAAAGTACCAACTTAAACGTACATAATACACATATATTTATTATGTCTCTCAGCATAATTTTAGCTGTTTTTAGTGTTATTTTATGTCAGTCTGACTGATTGCAACTATTTTATCTTACCATGGCCTTTGACTGGTGCAATAAATATTACACATATTATACAATGTCTTTGTGAAATGTACTTCTTTTGGAATATAATGTAAACCTACCTAACTCATGCTTCCCAAGCCAACACATAAAAAGAAATACAGCTATCCTTCAGCACTGGCACTTCCATTTTGTGAAAGTGCTCTGTATTTTTTTTTTAAATTGCACAGAACATGCAAAGTATCCAAATATATATTAGAGGAAACTACTTTAAAGATGTGTGTGTTAGGCAGAACCGCAGAAGTACAAACGTTAGGAGAAATGCACAGAAAATGCATATAGATTTTTTTTCTACAGACCTTGAAATAGTAAAAACTGATGTGAGAACAACATGACACAAATTTTAAGATTATAATAATGAGAAATTGCCACAGAACAAAACTGACAGATTCATCCATTCCTAGCTTTCACACATGTCCACGGCACAACAAGGGCCCTACAAGGTGACAGCAGGGACATTTGGCCCAGGCCTCAAGTTTGTGGGAATCTCAAATTGTGGCTTCCATCCAGTGGCAAATTTACTCAGGACAACAGTAGGACAATTAAAGGTGATCCTGTAGTTAACTGGGGCATTGTCCCAACAAGGCGCCGGCTATTCTTATTCCTGCCTTCCTCCATACTCCTAGAGCCAGTTCATGAGGTAACATTTTCTATTAGCTTCCTCCTTAATCAACGTTTCAGTTTTGTCTTCATGGCCGAACAGCTGATCTGCGTTTTGGTGCTCCACCCCTCCAGTGGGCACACACTCAAAGGCATCACCCAGAGGAGGCGCTCACTGCAGATCAGATGTTTGGCTGGGAAATGAACTGTACAGCAGTTTGTGCTCATCTCTAGCTACAAGCTCTAACATGTCACTATGGAATAAAGATGACAAAGCCTAATTCATTATTTTGAGACAGTACATTCATATAATCTTCTAGAACATACATGCCTTTATGCCCAACAGTTCTTGGATTGAGCCTTAGATTTTGTGTGACTCCATAGGCTTCTGTAGAATATTTAGGTTAATATTTATCTCTCTATTCGCACTCAGGTCTACCAGATAACATCAAAAAAATAAATAAATTTGCAGTTCAGTGACTTCACATCTCTAGAGATACATACTTGTTAACAGCAATATACAGGCGTGAGAAATAACACACCTGATCAACCTGATTTCCAATTCTGATTTATGTTATTCCTGGAATTTTAAAAAAATCTCTTGACATAATACAATACAGGAAATTCTAGGAGTTCTCATTAAAACCTCCAGGACTGCTTTTAATGGTTTCCTTGAGAGATACAGATTTGTGCAGCTATCATTCCCTCTAAAACTCTGTATAGATGAAATCAATCCCCACCTCCCTTTCTGAAACTTCCAAACACTCAAAAGTACCGTACCAATGAACAGAAGATTTACTAGAGGCAGAGCCAATCGAGGCAAGGTGAGTATTTTGGAGAAAAATCATATGATTAAACTGAATTTTTAAGTAATGCTTCACATCATGGTTTAAGCGAACTCCACCAGGCAAAACTCAGGTTCATGGATCATGGGAAACTCCTTCCCAATTTCAAATAAGGGCAGCCAAGTCAGTGCAAAAAATATGGATTTATAAAAAAAAAAATTCAAAGACACCACACATTCAAAATCCTGTCTCTAGATGTGACAGTCTCCAATGCCCAAAAAGAATGGGAGAAATAAAATGCCGTGCAGAACAAGAAAGGGATTTTTTTACACATAGAACAAACAATGGAATAAAGATTTCATAAACTGTATTCTGAGCCAGATGAGAGAGAAGAGACAAAACGAAAAAACAAGTAACATCATTCCAGCTATTTCTACTTCTGCACATTAAGTTACAATTTAGAATTAATACGAGTTAAGCTATCTGCTCACTGCACTGATAACAGGCAACTTTCTTTCTAGCTATGAATTTCAAAAGAATATATGTCTTAAACCAGAATACATGAAAATATCCTTGTCTGCATGAACAAAGAAGACTTGCCTGAAGAGCATTCAATACAAATAAAGTTTCCTGAGGGCTTTTCCGAGAGTCCAGTGCATCTTGCATGGAAAGCACCAAAACAACGACCTTCACAAAGCAGCAAGTCCCCAGGCTTTTCACAGAGCTTTGAAGAGAAAAGTGAAACATTAAAGAGTACAGAATATATAATTTTCAGCTGCAGTCCTTTTCTACTATTAGGACATATTTATTTGTTTGGGTTTTTTTGCTTGTTTTATAGGCTGCCTTTCTCCTGAAAAGGGGACCCAAGGCAGCTCACAATATTAAAAAGAATAAAATTAGGAACATAATAAGTTAAAAACAATTAAACATTAAAAACAATTAAATTATACACTAATTAAAACATAACTGAATGATTAACAACATTAAAACTATCTTAAAGTATCCTAGCATCTCCAGCTGACATAATGTGGCCACTTTGCAAATGTCTGGCAATGGGCCTCCTATGAGGGATGCTGCTCATGTTGCCATCACTCTAATCAGATGGGCCTGAACCTTCTGATAAGGGGTGACCAAGCCCCTCATAGCAGAGTTTAATGGTGGACACCACTCACTCTGAAAAATCTCTGAGCAAAGACTGGCCTTTTGAGGTGGGCATTTAGGCAGAAGCAGAAGCACTGTCTTTGACACAAAGAGGCTGTCTGAGACGCATAGAAAGAGAAAGCCCCTCAGACAAGATATGCAACGTCCTGAGAATTTCTGCTAAGGGAGGATTAGGGTGGTCCATCAGCAGGACAATGTCTTGTGGTAGGTGAAATGATAAGACCACTTTAGGAAGAAAAGCCAAGTCAGGTTTAAGAATCACTTAGACCTTATGAACTATCAAAAGGGGAGGCTCACAAAGCCCGCTCACCCACCTAACCAATGTTATGGCTACCAGGAAGGCAACCTTCATGGCAAACAGCCAACAGCTTATGAATGCCAAAAGTTCTAAAAGCTCCCCCCCCCCGAAGTTTAGATAGTGCCAAGGACATGCTTGTCAAGGCCACCAGGAATGTTACTGTTGGAAGCATGTTTTCAATTCCGTCTAAAAAGCATGTAATATTTGGGTGACAGAACAATAACAATGTAGGTAAAGGCAGAGTGTGAGTAGTAAGGGCAAAACAGATCTTCAGTGAAGACAACCAATGCTCTAGACTTGAGGGCCAATAGGAAATCCTATACAAAAGGCAGGGAAACCTGATCTGTCTTGTCTTGCATGAAAGACAGAAAGGCATTCCACTTACTTAGGCAGAAACGGGTGGTGGACCACTTACAGCCTGCCCTACGGTACCATGCACTGAGTAGTTCATCTGGGCTGTACATGGCAGGCTGTTAGTTGGAGGAGGTTTTGGTTTAGGTCAGTGGTTCTTAACCTTGGGTTACTCAGATGTTTTTGAACTGCAATTCCCAGAAACCCCAGCCAGCACAGCTGGTGGTGAAGGCTTCTGGGAGGTGCAGTCCAAAAACACCTGAGTAACCGAAGGTTAAGAACCACTGGTTTAGGTGATAGATTTCTCAATTGCCTATTACGACTTCATCCAGGCGTTGTGGGAGCCAGAAGTGCATCCTGTTGAAAAGCAAAATTAACGGGGCAAACCTCGGTTGCCACAGCCACTACCTGCTTACTAGGCAACTGGAATTGTCCCTTTTAGTTTTCTCAAGACTCATGAAATCAGTGGAAAGGGGGAAGGAGGCATAAAATAAGCTCAGTGCCCAGTGGTGAAGAAAGACATCCCCCAGGGATTCTGGAGGAGGATGATTGCAGGAGCAGAAGGCTTTGTACCAAGCATTTTGCTGGAATGCTAATCAGTCTGTCCCATCTGAGAAGAGTGTCACTGTGCCATATTTGTTAGGCAGAAGATCCCCTGCTTAGAGCATCTGCTTGAATATTGTCTACTCTGGGCACATGGAATGCCATTATCCAGATACTCCTGGCAAGTCAGTGGTTCCAGAAGCTTATACAGTGGTGCCTCGCATAGCGACATTAATCCGTTCAGCAAAAATCGCTGCTAAGCGATTTTGTCGCTATGCGATTTTAAAAAGCCCATAGAAACGCATTAAAACCTGTTTATGGGCAAAAAACTTACCTTAATGCGAAGATCCTCCATATGGCGGCCATTTTCGCTGCCTCTTAAGCGAGGAATCCGTCCCTAAACACAGCGGGCAGCCATTTTTTTACCCAGCGGCCATTTTGGAACCGCCGATCAGCTGTTTTAAAATCGTCACTTTGCGATGATCGGTAAGCGAAACAGGGACCCGATCATCGCAAAGCGGAAAAAAAACATTTAAAACATCGCAATGCGATCGCTTTTGCAATTGCAAAATCCTTGTCGCTATGCGGTTTCGTCGCTAAACGGAGCGCCTGTTAAGCGCCACTGTAACTGAAATGGTTAGTCTCCGGGACTAAGTTCCTTCCTGTTTGTTTATGTAATGAACTACTATTGTATTGTCTGACATCTGAATAGTTCAGTGCTGGTGAAGTTGTTTGGAGGCCTTGAAGGCCATTAATACAGCAAACTTCTCCAAAATATGGAGATGTGGAGGCGCAACTCCCCCTGTAACCAGTGTCTATGGATCCAGTCCTGTAGATGTGTACTCCATTCCATGAACAATGCATCTCCCATAGGGATGGCAGATGCATATAAGGATTATAAATGGTTTCTTTAAAGTGAATAGTGCACCTTTTGTAAGATTAGCAATCAATGTCAACCAGCAGAACTCTGTTTTCACCTTGGTTGATATGGAGGTTCATGCTTTCTGGCTCTTGTGTACTCTTCTGAAGATGCAAATGAACTAGCGCTATAGTACTAGTTCATATGGAGACTGGGTAGTTGAAGGAAGACAGCAGTGGCAGCCATAAAACGTAGAAGAATTTGAATGTCTTCCTCAAGCTCTCAGGCAAGCAAAACTGCTAGCTAATTTCTATGACAAGTTTCAAGCTCTCCTTGTTTGTAGGGTAGTTGCCGTAGTGCCATTGTAGATTTCAGGAGGCTCCTATACATTCTACTGACTGAGTGGGTGATGGGGTGAACTTTGAGGTGTTTACACTGCAGCCTAGATCATGGTGAAAGCTCAGCATGTGTTTGATGCAGGAGTGTAGGGCAATTCTCAATGGCCTGACCAACAATCAAGTGTCTATGTATGGTTAGGGTTAAGGTGGTAGAAGTGCCCAGGTTTGCTGCTGGAAAAGTGGTGACAGTAAGGGTCTGATATAGTGAGTGTAAAAGGTGTGTTTCTGCTGAACACAGAGCCTCTTAGATGACTTCTGGAAGTGTACTTGAGTAGGACGAATGGACATAGCATGTCGGGAGTTAGACCTGTTCCAATCTGTAATTGTTGCTGTTGAAGTCTGTTGAGGTAGTTGCTGATAGCCTGAACCTGAATCTGGACAGCAATTCTGTGGGACTGTGAGAGTGCACATCAAGACATCTGGTCTTAATTCACAGCATGTCATGATGGTTCTGATGCTTATTGAAAAGCCCCTTTTCGTCAAAGGGAAGATCACCGACAGTTGATCAAACATTCAGGGGGATATAAGACTGAGGATCTTACCCAGGTTTGATGGCATAGGACTACTGCTCCTGCTAGGTAGAGTCTTGGCTGCAGCAGATACAGCACCTCGAGCCACATTTATTTGCTGTCCTGACAAGGAATGTGCCTTTGCGTGAAATAACATGGTTTCCTTTCTTTAATTTTCTGGGAGTGCTCTAAGCATGGGAGTTATCCTTTCTGAGGGCAGGTGCTGATACTCTCCCATGCATGCAGAGTAATTGGCTATGCACAGTAGTAGTGCACTATATACAGATTTATACCCTGCCTATCTGGACCGATGGACCGCCTAGAGTGGTCCATCGGTCCAGATAGGCGGGGTATAAATCAAATAAATAAAATAAAATAAATATACTCTCTGTCCAGTTGGATCTAGTTTTCTTCCCTCCTGAAACAGTGATGTTATGATTGTTTTTATTTTAAACTTGTTAATCTTCACAAATACTAAAGAGTTTTTTTTGGCGGTATTTTATATATAAGCAACTGATCAACTTTAGACAAAAAGCTATAAATGGTTTTGATGTTCAAAACTGTACACGGGGCCGGACAAGAGCGGCTCTCGGGCCACACTTTGCCCAGGTCTGATTTAGAGGCAGATCTTCTATTTATTAACTACTCAGGAAAACAAATGAATCTCTAGTGACTTGCTTAATGTTAATATGTTAATATCAGGTCCCCTAGACACAGATTCAGATAACAAATTCAAGAGATTTCCTAAACACCTGTTTCATATTTAAATTCTGTCTTTTATTTAATGTAATCTAGAAACTAGATTGGAAAAAAAAACAAATCTATTTTACTCTTACCTGACAAACATATTCTTTCCTTACAGCAGTTCCTCGATCAGACTTTTTGGATGACTGAGACACTTCTGCTAGAGCTTCATCTGCACTTTCATATGGAGACTCTGATCGTTCATCTCCTTGACCATCTGAAATCTAAAAACAAGGAGGATCAATTAAAACTATCTTATAGTTTGGTTCAATATAAGATTTCAGGAAAACACCATCACATTATACATCTACTCCATCTGTACCTATCAAGAGTTGCACCAATTAAAAGAAGAACCAACCAAGAGCTGAACATTCCTTACTCTTAAAATGAAGCAGCAACTTGAAGGAGTGCCTTCCTTACCAGGAGATGTGAATGCACCATAGTACCCTATTTCTGGAAGTAGATCAGTCATAATAACCAAGACCCAGGAAGGCCTCCTCCATTAGAGGAAACTTCCTTACTTCGCATAAAGTTTGGAGAATCTTAGGAAATGGTAAGATTTTCTCATATGGAGTTCTATGGAGGTAAACTACCAAAATTACTTGAGCAAAACAAAACAAAAAATGAACAAACAAACAAACAAGAGAGAGTGAGAGAGAGACTGACCAAAAGGGGGAGCATCTAGGTATTGCAACACAGAATGGATAAACATTATGAGGAAGCAAATGCATTTCCAGATATGTATGCACAAACTCTCTTTTCACAAATGAATATTCCCTGTTCAGTAAGAACAAGCTATACAATGGTGCCTCGCTTAACAATTGCCTCATTAAACCATGAAACCGCTATACAATGACTGTTTTGCAATCGCTTTTGCGATTGCAAAACTATGTTTTAATAGGCAAAATCCGCTTTGCGACGATCGGTTCCCTGCTTCGGGAACCGATTCTTCACATTACGAAGTTTTTAAAACAGCTGATCGGCGGCTTCAAAATAGCCACCTACTGTGTAAAATGGCTCCTCGCTGTGTTTTGGACGGATTCCTCGCTTTACAGGCACTGAAAATGGCCGCCCCTATGGAGGATCTTCGCTGAACCCTGAGTTTTTCAGCCCATTGGAATGCATTGAACGGGTTTTCAATGCATTTTAATGGGACTTTTTATTTCGCTTAACGAGGATTTCGCTCTACAGCGATTTCACTGGAACGGATTATCCTCGTTAAGCGAGGCACCACTGTACCAACATCCACTTTTGCTAGAGGTAGATAGTATGAGTAAAGACACTGATAAAAATTTGTTTAATCAGAATTACAATATTTTGGCCCTCATACACCAGGGACATTTTATTTATCCACAGTTTATGTTCACTACATAATCAATATTCTGCTATAGGAAGAGTCTTCTATAGATTTTCAGCACAGTGTGGGACATGACATGGAATTCTGGTGCTTGGGAAGAGGCTTCAGAAATTTCATTGTGCAGGCACAAGTTGCTTATGTAAACCCTACCAGCTTTCTTGATTGCAGCTTTCATTTTGCAATAAATTGCGTAGAACATTAATATACTTCCTGTTTTCAACTTTAAAAATACTGTTCAAAAGCAGAAAACACAGTGAACAGAACATAGATGACTTAATGGAACAGATATTGCAAATTAAAGAAAAAATGTCTCACATCCACTCACTTAATTTTTAAGGACTCATGGCCAGCAAAACCTAACAAATGATTTAGATCTTTATAAAAAATCTATGAATTTTAATTTGCTAATTCAAAGTCTGTGCAATATTTGCCATTTGTATGAAGCCTTCAGGCAGCCTGATGGTCTGTTCTGTAACTGAGAAAATTCTTGACCATACCAGTTCCTGGAAGATGGTAAATTTGAACCATAGCTTCTATGCTACCTTCCTGAATAGTATACTGCTTCTATCACATTCTTTAAAGTCCTATTCATGTATTATTTTATTTTATTTACTTACTTATTTAAAACATTTTTACTCTGCCTTTCTCTTTAAAGAGCCAAGGTGGCTTACATCATTAAAAGACAATACTAAAACTAACGACAGTGAGTATATAAATACTAAAAATGATCAAGCACTATATTAAAAAACATAAGCAAACCAAAACACATTCAAAGCAGTAAAATACAACAATCCATTAAAAAAAAATAACATGAATTGGCTTGAAGAGAACCACCTTAACCCTAACCCTATTCCAATATTCTTCATGGTTGTAATACTGAGTCGCAAAAGGTGAAAGGTCCTACTTCTGTGTCAACTCTCCATACAAGAATACAGCTTTTACAGGTTGTTGCTTGTATGCAGAGCCAACGGGTGAAAACATACTTCTGTCTATAGCAGGAGGGATTGCAGCACCAGCATTTATAATACCTGAACACAGCTTCTCAAGAAATAACAAGGAGAAACAATGGCAATTTCACTCATCTGTTTTGAAGTCTGATACAAGCCTTATTCAAAATTTTCAACAGATCTTTTTTTCCTTGCAATGTTGTACCTATTAAAGTTTACAGAACGTTACTCACTGACTGTTTCTATTCACTGAAATTACCAGGAAGTAAATATTCAATTAGTACAATTTTAAAGCAATATGTATCTTCCATACCTGCTCAGGTTCTTTTGCTCAAAATCTAGAGATCCAAACACTGACTTCAAATGTAATGGGATATTCATGTCTCATAACACTATATCTTACCTTAAAGATTATTAGATAAGTGAATTATTATCCACATTTCAACTCTCCAGTTGTAACTGAGATTATATCTTTATAATTCACAAGAACAGCTTTCCCCATTTTATACTTGGAATCCAAAGACCAGCTTTGCAGAGATCTTTCTTCCCCATTTTGTATCCTAAATTCTCTTGCTATTGTTATTATTATTATTGTAATCACTCTTTCAGAAAGCCATTTTACACCTTATAAGCTTTGTGCAAAGCCCTAATTTGGCCATGTCACCTTACACTACAGGATATGTGATAAATACATCAGATGTGATGTAAATAAACAGGAATATTTTGCATGGGAATGGTGGAGGAGACAAAGAGAGTGAAGGATTTGGTGCTGATTGTTTATCTGAGATCTCTGGAAGTTTGTGTTTTTTGGTTCTTTCTTTTATGTCAGTCATGTGCTCTGCTCCAAGAATGTGGTGCTAGTGGGAGAGGCTATTGCTAAGAGAAAATGAGCACTGAGAGGAAATGAGTTGTCAGCTTGGTTAGGGGTACAGGCAGCAGCTGCCAGGTTATATCTGCTTTCAGAGATACAGCAAACAGGCATTTAGCATAGACATTAGAGGCGGAGGACCAAATAGCTATGCTACTGCATGGGACTGAGAGACAGAGATTGTGAAGGAGGACTTGCAGTAACCTTCAAGGTTTGTTTGTCTTCCTGCCCAAGAATGCAGAAGTCCACAGCAAGTGCAAGGCACTTATTTTCAGGTTATTAAAAAGATGAACTGTTTATGGATACAGCAGAGCACACTCTACTGGCAGAGTAAGAAGGGAGATGAGACTAAAAAGAAAGATGAATGCCACATAGCACTGAAGGCCATCATTTGGAAGAAAGCAACATGGAGAAGCAGGACTATCCTTGGAGCTAAACAACTGATATGAAGTCCTGCCATGTGGAGTGATTTTGGGATGCAAGAATATGGACGGCAGAGAACATGAAGGTGGGAGCAGAGGAAGAAGATGTGAAATGGTGGTGATAGATGCCTATTGAGGAGGGCAGCCCCAGCAACTTGCAAACCTGAGAGAATGTCTCAGGAGGGGTTTTGTTTCTCTGATGCAAAGGCCTTAAGGTCTCTGTTGCATCCTGGCCAACTAACAATGCTTTCTTCCTTCTGCTCCAAGTGGGATCAAAGAATGCCGTCATATACATTTATAGTACTGCAAATGAGGCTCAGAGTAAAAAAGGTAATTAACCCTGGGGCACAGATGGTTAGAAATTAGCTATACAGACAGTGCAGTCAGGAAATGTTTGGCTTCTTGAACCATAGTTTGCACTCCCAAGAAAGATGCCTAGCAACATATGGGTTCTCTAAACCTGGTCAGAAGGGCTTAAGCTGCATCCTGTTAGGAAGAGAGACAGAATTCCTGAGGACAAGAACATCACATACTTGGAATAAGAGTGCCAGCAACACACCAGAAACTGAAATGGTGGTACAGAGCTCCACCAATGTAGGAGAAAGGACAACACCAAGCATTAGGATGGAAATATTCATGACTCCAAATGTCTCTAGAACAATCTACAAAACATGAACTCTTAGCACTGGAAAACACATATAATTTAATAGATATCACCAAGACCTGGTGTGATGAGACTAAACTGGAATGTGGTGAAGGGTGTAATTTATTGAAAATGAATAGACTAAACAGAAAGGGTGGACAAGTAGCAGGATATGTACAACTGGTGCAATTATAAGGTGAACCATGAGTTGTAAAATGGAATGCTGGTGGACAGAACTTGAGTAAAAAATCAAAGGGAGAGAGAAACAACAGTCACATCACTATGGAGGATTATCACAACCTCCTAATCAAATGGAACACTTGGATTAATACTCTCTTAGATTCGATTACCAAAATTTCAAAGAGGAGAGATACAGCAGTAACAGGGAGATCAACTACCATAATATTTATTGGAAGTCCAAATTTGGCAATCTAACATATAACAAATGTATAATATTCGTTATACATTAACAAATATTCTCATAATTTCATCTCCTATTTTTATTTATTTATTTAATCTATTTGTATCCCGCCTATCTGGTCATTGCGACCACTCCTAGGGGGAAAAAAAAAACCCAACCCAAAAATAAACAGCTACAGTAGTCCCATGCTGGGACTGGGGAAAAAATCACCTAAAAACAAACAACACAGCACAGAAACATAACCCCCCCAGCCCAAGACCACCTCGCACAACCCACCCAGTTTTTAAAAAGCAAAAAGGAGCATATTACCTTAGCAGACTTCCTTCGGCGCCACCTCCAGGAGCCGGGATCGGGGGCCCCTCTGCTCCCGTGCCGAGAAGAGACGAAGAGCGCTGAGCCCCGACGCGGCCGCCCCGGCAAGCAGCTGCTGGAGCGGGTGCCAGAGGCATTGTTGGGCACTCCCGGTGGGGGAGCCCAGCAAGTGGCTCACCTGTCAGGGGTGCCCAATGCCACCTCCTTCTCCGTCACCAGCGGCGGCTTGCCGGGGCGGCCGCGTCAGGTCTCGC